TCTTCATTTGTTACAGCTGGAAGCACTCTCTTATTTGAGTTCCTTAAGTGCTCCTCGTGTGACTCGTGATTCGTGTGCGCATCACGTGTGTCGAGTTGGGAAAAACACGCCGGTCTCACGCATCAATAGAATGAACTCTTTCCAGTCGTTTGTTTCACTAGCGAGTTTCGGGCCGTATGCCTGTTACCAGGCTGCAAGCGTCATATATAGTCTTGTTCGCTGCGGATGCTGGGGCTGGTAAGGTGCAGTGCCAACTCGTTCACACGAACTATTGTCTTTTGCCCATCCGACTGGTAGAGAAAACTGACTCTCACCAAAATCTTCCCTTCCCAATTCGCCGCAGCATTCGCAGCGAACAGGAGTGTACATTGGCTACATCAACGTCATCCAGCTGTTATACATAAATAACGAGAAATTAAAGAGGGAACGGTTGATGGACACCCCAACGACTTTCCTACGGGAGGGTCTGAAATCAAGGTGTGTCCGGGAGTCTGCTGCAAAATGATTTGCTGTGGGACGAAAGCAGTGATACGTAACAATGACTCATCTCCCCAGCTGTACTTTCGGTCAGAAATGAAGCAGCTAGATTGGTGGGGGCAAGCGGAATCGTTGGTGTAGTCTAACAACTGGGGTTCGGCAGCGGGGCGTTTTGCACTTTTGCTATATCCATCGACGAGTCGACCCATCGTTACTTACAAGAGTTTATATTTTTTTAACATGGTGGCTCGACGAGCTTGCTCCAGCTTCACAAGAGTTCACAGGTTTCACCAGAGTGAGACTTGTAAACCGGAAGCAGTAAATGCGACTCCCCCCCCCCCCCGTCGCCATCAGCTTTCATTTGTAGCCAGTCAGTTACTTCCTTTGTATGGTTCTCATTCTATTTATTTATTTATTTATTTATTTATTTATTTACACCATAAGGTGTGCCACAAATGCTACACTAGGATAAACGCGCTGAAACTTAATATTTCAACTAAACACTGAGACAGAGAGAAGGATCACACGCTATTCATACTACTTCCTGAGAAGAGAAAAAAGGTTTATGTGAAGATTTTAATTGAAAACTTGTAATATAGTCCTCCCCTTGACAGTTGATGAGGCCAGCTGCAAGATCGACCTTCAGAACGCAAGATTGTCGTAATACTGGGGCCCGCTGACGGTTTAACCCGAACGAACGCATCCGTTCAGGACCCCAGGCGAACGAGGGATCTCAAGCACGGGCTTCAATCCTTTCTGGAAACTCTTTGAGTAATCACGTCGAGATAACAGTTACTTAGACCACTTTCTTTGAGGATCATCAGACTCAAGTGAACAAGGTGATCAATGTAATCAATCATAAAAAAAACACCAGGATTCATTGTATAAAGCCATGTGCTCCTTCTTACATAGTATGGTGAAACAAATACCAATGGTACACACAGCAAGAACTTCAAATGTAAAAAAAATTTCATCAGCGCCAAAACTGGTGATAGATCTTCTATTTGGTAATATTCACTTCCAGTAGGAGAAAATCCTGGTTGGATAAAGAAAACTATAGAACTTGATTCTTTCTGAAACTGGACAAATTAATACAGATCATCAATACTCAGTGCACGCAATAAGTCGATTCGCTTCAATCTGGATTTGAAAACCTTGCTATTTTCGGAGCTCATAAGTTCCCTAGGTAGAAAGCCGAAACCATCTAGCCACGCGGTATAGGGGAAAGTTGAATAGGAGAGCGAAATTCCTGTTTGGAGCTAGAAGTAATCACGTCCCGAACCTATTTCCTCTTTCGCCCTTACTGACGTCTAATACTCCAAAATAACTCGATGGGTGTCTTAGCTTAGTTTTCTCCACGAGGATGCGAAATCCAAAAACTAGGTCTGACACAACTCTTCTATATTGCAAGGTTTTTAGGCCAAACAAGGTTAACCGTTCACCGTAGTTTGGGATGTTACGCCGGCGAACACCCTTATTCATTCGGATAAAAATCAGCCTAGTGGCCATATGTTGGACTTTTTCAATTTTAAGTAAGTCTTTTTTGCGAACTGGGCTCCAAACTTGAGAGCAATACTCTAAGTGGGGCAAAACATAGGCATTGTACAGACGAAGAAGGATTTCAGGTCCTGTCGCTTCGGATGTGATGTGGCGACATTAATCCTCGCAGCCAACATATTTACTAAGGCTTCCTTTGTAATTCCTCTCTGTGCGCTTACATTCTTCTTCTTCTCCCACGTTAGTCCCCGCGCCGTCGCTAGGGTCGCGATGTTCTTGTTAGACTGTGCCACTTGTTTTCCGATCCACTGCTTTTCTGTACGTGGCTTTCACTTCAGCTGGAGGTTTCTTGATGACGTCGCTCACCTTTTCTTGAGACTCCTCTGGTCGCTTGCCCTCTGGCATGGAATTTCCAATGCTTCTTTTATGATGTCTTCAGCCTTCTCAGGAGTGCCCATACCACGACAATCGCTGCTCTCGTGCTTCAGCTGAAGCGGAGCCGTCTGTTGACCGCCCTGACGTCCTCGTTCTGACTCTGTCGAGTCGTGTCAACCGCAGGCCCATCTCAGCATCCTCATTTCAGCTGAGTGGAGCTGCCTTTCATGGTTCTTGCAGATAGGCCAGCACTCACTGCCGTAGAGCATTGTAGGCCTTACCACCGCCCGGTACACCTTGCCCTTGAGCGTTCTCGAGCACCGCCGGTCACACAGGGTGCCGCGTGCCTTCACTTGCTCGCGTGCCAAATTCTTTATGCAGTTCTAAGTTGCGAAGTGCATTGCATCACTATACGTACTTGTTCATCTTTGTAAAATCTGTTCGCCCTAAAATGATTGCTTGTTTCGCGCATATTTCCTGTCTTTCACTTTTCTTCCTTAGATTTTCTCAAATTAATCGAAGTTTGAGTTTGCAGCATGCCAGATGTCTTCACTCTATCCAGATGAGAGTTATTGCACGAGTGATATTGGGCGACTTCTGTTCCAACCGAAGAACGAATGGGCAGCTACGGGTAAGGTAGTCGATGTCACCGAAGTGAAACAGATTGCTGGAACCCATATCGACTATCAAATTGAAATAAAAGTAAGTGTCCTTGCTGCAGTTTGCCGTATCAGGGCGGTGTTCGGCTTAGAGAGGCTAAATAACAGGCACCACTTTGGTAAAATCTGTAGACTTCTGTGTAACTATTAAATGGTGCGAATCGGCCACTTTGTTCCCAGAAATCTGCAGATATTCACAAGGTGGCCTGCACAAGGTTGGCTGTGTACCATTCCATGCACCTCCCAGCAGAACAGCGCCCATATCGGTGTGTATTTATCGTGATAACTAGTTTATTTGTGTCGGTTAAATATTAGGTTGATGCATATATTTTTAACCCAAATTTTTTTTGTAAATATCTCAATAGCAGCCGACTCGAACCACCTGTGAAGATTAGTGGTATGCACATCACCATCCACACTCGACATTAACGCTCAGCCAGCTTGGCGATTCCATCCTCCCAGAAGGACGGGGGCTGGGACCCGAAGAAGGCCACAATGCCGCACAATCACCACTGTGACATGATTTCACAGTGGTAATTGTGCGGCATTGTGGCCTGCAAATGCAGGGTGGGTGAGTGATAGCTAGTGTGATAAAGACTATATGCACTCACGCACACGCCTCGTGATTATACCAACATCCATGCAAACGAAATACGGAAGGATCAAATTTACATGAAAGTCGGGGTTAAAAACATATGCATCAACCTAATAAGTCGCGACTCTGTCAGAGTAGGGAGAGGGGTGAATTAGGTGTAGAGAATCCAGAGCTCTTTCCGAGCTAGGTTTGATCAAAATCCTCGTCGTATAGCTCATATACTTTTCCTTTATCTCAAAGTTCACCCTGCAAGAGAGTGTTTACGGGGGGGGGGGACTTGCGGCGCTTTCCAGACCACCGTCATTTGCCTATTTGTCCGGTTTTGCAACAGGACCACGCAGAAAGGTTCAACTTTTCAAGTAACCTCTGGCTGCGTGAAGAGACGCAGCAACCCCCCCTCCCTCCCAATATATTGACACCTAACGGAGTTCTTCTCGGGTACCGTACTGGTATTACAAAACTTGCAATCTTGTGGGTTTGGAGCGGCTTCAGTTCTCTGCACCAAGAAGTCTCAACTCTTCTTCGGCTAGCGTCAAAATGGCAGCTCCTCAAAACACCCCATTTTTTCCATTCAGATCAAAAGTGTTGATTTTTCTTATGGCAATGACTTTGCCATTCTCAGTGGATTCTTGCGCTTTGTTACATGAATTTATTATTTCAGTGCATTCCACGTAACAGTATTGAATTGGACAACCGGTTTTTCGTGTTAACATCTAGATTCCGTGAACTTAATCGCCTGCATATTAACTTATCCAAACTCCACAAACAAGTGAGTTTTTGTTATTACGTGGCTTTTCGGGCTTGCCGTATTTTACATTATTTTTTGCGGTAGTTCACAAAATTACAGCTATTGCAAGCTCAAGTTTCTCTTCCAAAATTTTCTGCGCAAAGCAAAAATGTGCAGTGATGGAAATAAAAACTTGGAACAACTGAGGAATGGCATTTTCCTCCGTTTAAGCTCATATATTTCCTCTCAAACTAACAATAGCTACTATTGATAACAATTACTAGTAGCTGCCAGGAATGTAATATAAAAATGGTAATATCAACAGTTTGGTGATTCAGACGTAGTGCTGCAAATAGGCGCCTCTTATCAGATGCACGCTCTGGGGACCATTCCCGGATCGGCTCCCGCCCGTGTCAGCCATGCTTTCTATCCCTAAGGGTCCAGCTGACTGATATCAGACTCCTGTTGGAGGATAAACGTTCTGAATCGAACATCGACTAGCCCCGCAAGTTGCGCGTTCATACTTCGCGACCGCGTGATCCAATCGAGCGACCCGATCGCGCGACCAATCCTAGGACGTATTGCATTCGAAAGCCGGTACAATTCCAAGTGGAAATGGAGTGCGTGCAGCAACCCTGAAAATGACTCATCAGTGGTTTTGTCCTTTGACCTTTTTTGATTTAATCAAGTCTCGCGGCGTGCTGTCGGCCTCCACGCTACTGGGATGCTGTTCAGCGTACTCGTCGACATGCTGGCGATCACAAACTGCTCCTACTTGTGTTTTCTGACGGGGAGGGGGAGGGGAGGGGGGAACGTCAGACTTGCCTGAGTGTTCTCTTCCTTCTCCGTCTATATTTATTTTGTACGCTCCTTAGTTCTATGTTTTTCTCGCAATTTTAAAGATGTGAAAACAGGTATAGTTCAAGTGATAGCAGCATTTCCTTTCGCAAAGTTCTCCACATTTTGTCCCGACAACGACCTTAATCACCTACCTATTTTTGAAATGGTTTTTTCACGCGTGCTTAATCTGAGAGAGCAAAGTTCTTGCAATTTGAGAAAAAATGGCAAAACCTGGAAAATGCGCGACTTTAGTTGTTCCAAGTTTTCGCCGCTGTACGCCTTTACATACACCAGCTCTTCGCTTATGTTTATGAAAGCGAAAAAAATTCCATCGAAGAATTTACGTGATTAGAATGTTACGCATTTCAAGCTCGTTTGATTCAGCTGTACCTGCGAGGGTTATTTCCACCGTTCGCTCCACCACGGCTTCTTGGTAGCTGTGATCCTGGAGTGATTGCGGAACGTCGGCATAGCATTAACGAGTTCCTCACGTTTATACTTGATAGTGAAGTTTTACGGAAGGCACGAGTTCTTCAGGAGTGGTTAGAGGTGAGGTGTTCAGAATTTCTGTGAGGCTCACCTTTCCAGAGGAACGCACTGTCATACAGTCTTGTTCGCTGCGGATGACAGGGCGTGTCAGAAGAGATAGGTTTGGCGCCGCGCCAAACCCGCTTCCCAGCAGCTGTTGAAGCGGACAAGCGACAAGACTGCATTTCTTTCGTATCAGTCGTTTTCCACTGAATCATGTTGCTTACCGCTTCGACTGGTGGAGTATGCGCTGGCGCCCCGTCAACGTCAAGTCCACTGGAACGCTTCACAATCCACAGAGAACAAGACTGATGATGATTAGGCGTTGTATATGATCTGTGCCGATGTTGATGATGTTTGTCGTCTTCATTTTCAGAAAGCTGTAGAGCGACCAAATGTTGGCAACGCTGCATCTCCAAGTTCATTTATATATGAAGGAGTGAATATTTTAGATGCTCCGAATATGTAAGTGTTGGTGTTTTGGTGTTACAGTAGTTGTGGGGATGTTTACGTTAATTTTCTATTCTTTTTTTCGTACTGATCCGCCAACTACGGAGATGTGCGCCCACAGAAAATAAGTTGGAGTTCATAAAGCATGAACCTAAGCCACTGAAAGGACTTTCGAAGTGAGTGGAGCGAGAGGAGCTCTGGGGCTTGTCGGCAGATGACTGAATGACCTCCTGCCTGCCAGCGAATGACGTGCCGGACCGTTGCGTCTCCACGCTGGGAGGGTCCTAAGGAACTTTTTCGTTGGACATTCTGGCCGAGCATTGGAAGGTTGGGGAAGAAGGAAGGGGTGAGAGGAAGAAGGAAGGAAAAGTAGTAAAGGGAAAGAGAAAGGGAAGGAAGAGGGAGGTCGCGCGGTTACAGACATACTGGGGCGGCGTCCTCATTCGTCCGGTGTCTGATCACGGAGGAAGTGCAAAGATGGAAAAGGATGAGGGAACGCAAGGCACCTTCTGCTTCGCTATGGAGGAACAACAAGATGTTGGAGTGTGCCCACTGAGGACCGTGAGACCACGCCTTACGATCGTCTCCCCCCCACCCCGTTTTGTTGTCGGAAATCCGATGTCTTCACGACCTGAGGCTTTCTCAATAGCCTAGAAGTCACACACTTTCTCGTTGATTTCTCATCCTAAAGTGCAGGAGCGCTCGATACCACTTCCATTATATGCGAATGTGTACATATTTCTGGTATACTACAATTGGAAGTTTCACGATTTTTGAAATAGCTGAAAGAATAAAAAAAGCGCTGAAGTTCTGGATGTTGATTTTTGGTGGTCAAGGAAGGCGCTTTCATCTAGTTTTGGCTGCACATGTGGCATCTTGCAGTGGGAACGTAAAAGTCGATCACATGCTCGTTAGTTGGCGGCAAGTCCAATACTACGTGCTAACTAGGTGCATTGCCCACCAATTCCTCATATATTCCGGATACGGTAGACTGCCGCGAGGCAGTCCGCGCGCTACACGCTTACGATTGTTTTCTGCCGTCTTCCAAAGGTCTGATATAACTTCAGAGTTATGGAGTTTCACCTATCCTGTTTGTCTGTATGCGGTTCGATATAGCCCCTGTATAGCGGAATTTGCCTTAGAGACTCTGGAGAGGGACATTTCAAAGAGCTGACGAAATTTAGGAATTTGTTGGAAATTAGATATTTATTCTCTGTTTCACACCTGAGATGCTGCCGTTGATTCCAAAAGTTTTCAGAGCTGACCAAAATGGTGATTCGTCGCGAGTGCTAGTTCCGGAAAGCATACCTCCTCCAGTCAGTCCGTCTTAACCTTTCTGTCTCAGATACTAGAAACATGGAACCATTTACTGCTTGCTTTGTTCCGTTCTTAGTTCTGAATTGTGTGAATCCTTGGTTGCTCAAGAAATAAAGTTGTTCTTCGTTTTCATTGTTTGGCTGTAATTAGCTCCATGTTTCTGTTCTTTGGCATTTTCCTGACATTTACTCACCAATTTCATATTAGTTCGTAGATTTCTGGACGCAGATTGGAAAGGGGGGGGGGCATTCTGCACTTTCATTGCTTCCCATCGACGACTCAAATCATCAAGTGAAGACCTGTGAAATCTTGTGAAGCCACAAATGATGCCAGCCAGGGTTTGTCGAGGCCACAGTTAACTGTTGTAAAGAACCTGTCAAGTCAACCTGTTGTACCTGTCAAGTCTTGTAAAGCCGTGAAATACCCACAAAAACCATTTTGCATAGTTTCTTGACGAGCTTTCTCCAGCTTCACATGTGTTTACTGGTCACAGCAGATGACGCAACGAAAGTGCAGAATGCCCCCACCCTAACCCGGTAGTCGAACTGCGCTAACTTTTGACAGAACGGCTAGTTAAAAGAAATGGCAAAAAAAACGAATTCATTAAGCTTGTTGATGTCCGCTAGACACTTTTGATGTGTTTTGTTATTATACAAGTTCAGGATGACAATTCCTTGGAGCCAGGTGTAGGATTACACGCTTCCCCATCAACTGGCGAGTTTCAATTCCCTGATGTTGTCATTAGTGAGTTAAATAAGTTATAAATATATTTTTACTAACACGGTATGATGTGGAAATGGTTGTTGCCATAACTATTGCTTTATTATTTGTTGATATTAATATTTTGATATTTGTGGGCCAAGTGTTGTGCTATAAATGAGTCGCATTCAGGCACAAACGAGCCAGCGGCAGAGGTTTCCCTCAGACATCGTCGTAAACCGTCAATGATGGAGAGGTTCTTCCCGAAACTGTCAGCCTCCAATCAATATTCCATCCAGAGTTAGTTTCGCTTTTTATGAACATCCAAGCGCTTTTCGGCTTGGGAGGGGCATTTTGCACTTTCGCTAGTTCCTTCTGCTAGCTGCTGTTAAATTACACGTCACAGTTAGTGGGACCTGTAGATATGTGTCAAATGTAAACAAAGCTCGCGCTATTGCACAGCTTTACAGGAATTGACAGGCCTCCACAGGGGCATCGGCAGTGATCGATGGGAACCGCCAGAATGTCCCCATCAAGCCAAACTGCACCAACATTCATTTCATATGGGAAGAACGATGCTTCTTGTATTCAGTTGCAACTATAGCTGCAGCATATCATTGATGTGGGGAAGAGTGAGAATAAACAAACGATAATGTTTGCCGTCAGTGCATGTGTAAAGGCTCTCTATGGTTGGCGCCGTGCGGCCTAGGGGGAAGGGTATTTTGCACGTTTGCTAGTTTCTTTTTCTAGTTCCCATTGAATTTCTCGCTTTAGGGAGAGGTGTTGACTCCTTTCGAAGGTACATGAAACACATGCTGCTGCATTGTTTTAGTATACTTTACAGGCTTCCACAGGGGCATCTGTTATGATCGAAAGGAGCCGCAAAACGCTCTCAAGCCGAACTACGTTTAATTTTTTTTACTTGTTTCATCAAACAATATTCTTTCTCCCCACCACTCATTCTTTCTCGACACTTAGTAGGAATTTTAAAAGTTCTGGACATATTCTAGATCTGGTTCTATTGCCTGATTTTTGCATGAGCGTTACAAGTTTAATTGAGTTCCTTCATTAACTTCTACCTCATGTCGTCCTTAATCGTCAACCCTCCTCGATAATGAGTCTCGGAGTTGACAAAAAAGGCTTTCGTTTAAGGAGGGAGCGGACCAGACCATTTGTACTTTGATTGGTTTCCAAACACATTTGCTTCTCCTTGTTTTCTTATCCATAGGGTATTTATGGTTTGGAATTTGAAATTTGCACTTTCTGCAGCATGCGGGGACAGAATGACCGTTTCGGTAAAGTGGACTTTGGGAGTTGATACTCCTGACCTTTCGTTCAGTTATTTTTTTGACATAGTTTTTTATCTATAAAAGCCCAAAGGTGCCTATTAGCAGAATCTGGCTTCACGCTGAAGTTTAATACCTGATTTATGCTTGGGTACATAAGAGCTATCGGAACTGAACAGTACTTTGGCGAATTTTTTTCTTTTATCTTTCTATTCTTTTTGTACAACTCGTCATAATAATCCCTATTGTCTGGAGTTGTGTCGTTCAAATCGAAAACCGAAAACCCAATCCTTTCCCCATTCAAAGAGTCTTCCACAAGATGATTACCCCTTACCCTTGTCATAATTCAAGGCGGGGCTTATCTAAGGGTAGACACTTTGCGCCAGAGGACTCAGGGTACAGGAACTGCAGTGCTTTACATCGCTGAGGAAGGTGCCGAGCACCGAAATATTTTAAGTAAAGCAAAAATTTTCAGATTCTTTTATAAATTTTTAGAGTTTTTTGCAATGAACGTTTTCGGTGCCTTCTCGTGTTTTCACATTTTAAATAGTTAATATCGACTGATGAATTTGGTTATTTCTACTACAACTGTTTAGCGATGTCTTCGGCTGAGAACAGTGATTATCTTGTTCATGCTGCTCATTTGGTATCAACTGCTCAACGTGCTGAACACGAACACGCTTACGAACTGGCTTTCCAGTGTTACAAAAATGCAGCCAGTAGCCTTATCCAGGTATGTGTCATTTAATTACCTAGCGTACTCTTTTGTACTGAGTAACGGGATTTTCTTTTGTTTCTTTCTCTTTTTCTACTCTTGCGATATTTTAAATTATTTTATCTGTGTTGGCGGAGGTTGCTTAGTGGCAGAAGGCACAATTCCCACGCGAACGGTACGGGGATCAAACCCTACATCGGCTTCCGCAGAGCTAACCAAGCCTTCTGCCCTAAGGGAACGGTAATTTGATGTCAGTCTCACACATCACATTCAGTAACCCTGTGCATTACTGTATGAAGCAGAATGTAAGCCGTATCCTAAGAAAGGAAATTTTCAACGGCGAAGGCTATCCTGTTTATTTATTTTATCCGCTTTACAATGTTACCTTTGATGTTCTTCTCTTCTTCTTTTCTTATATGGATAGCACTCTTTCTTAGTAGATTTTTATGATGTCGTTCAGTATATCGTCCAAAGGTTTACCAGCCATCACTAAGTGCATTTTCACAGTATTTTTTGTGGCTCATAACATCCTGTCTTTATTTTTTTCTCTATGGAAAAGATGTTACGGCACTGCTCACTTTAGCCTACCTCACTGCGAAGTGTAGATTCGGCTCGGAATCTACTCGAAGTTCTTCCACGGGTGTGATTTTGTTCTTGGGAGTATCGAGCGGCAGTCACACCCGCTAGGTGCAAAACACCTGATACGAGCGCCGCTGCAGGCGCCGATGCCAAAGTTGGCCTAGGCCTTCACCGTGTAGCAGCAGGCGCTAGTAGCGCGAGCTCCAGGTGCCTACGCTGAGCAGATGTGATTTTCATTTACTGCGGGGCAAGCGATCCTTCCCTGGGACAAAATTCCACCTACACCTACCCCCAGGGAAGAATTTTGAGTAAAAACCAGCCTAAATTCCAAAACTGCGGTAGTGAAGGCTAGTGCTTTTAGGGTATTCAACACGAATCGGATACTTCTCGTAGGAACGCAGTCCGCCGCAAAACCGCCAAATATCTTGTGGCTGCTGAACGACTGTATCGCACCCATTTGGCATACGATGGAGCGGCTGCTACGGTGAATTTAGAGTCTCTCGTGGACTCGACAATGTCGGTAAGTTTGCTATAGATACTGTAAGGGAGTTCTCGTTTTATAGCCATGCTAGAATAATGCTACAGGGAGGGCTAGATTGAAAAAAGTGGTTATTAATCATTTGTGCGCTAGTTAATAGTGCTTCACTACGAGACGAGGGCCTGCCTTAAATTCGTCCTAGTCCTAGTCGCTCGATATTCCGAACAGTGAAAAGAATTCACCATTTCAAGAATTCCGCTACACATAGTACAGTCTCGTCCGCTGCGGACGCTGTGGCGTTTCAGAAGGTTGGGTTTGGCGCGGCGCCAGCCTGTGTTCAGCATTCGTGGAATCTGGTGATGGACTACAATTTGCCCATATCTGGCTAGCGCTGCTCCAAACACAGATTTTCCGAAACGCCTCCGCGTTCAGAGTGAATGAGACGGTAGCTCACCTTGACAATTGTCCTAAGCTTCATCAAATAAAGCCTTCAACCCGTTAGTTTGATAGGAATTTGAGCTGACGCCGTTTTCAGGATCCAGATGTGTTGGCCTTCCAATGTGCGAACAACTGCTTGAAAAACTATCGCGTTGTCGGCGTTCTTCCTAGTCTGAACGCTCCTAAATGGGTGCTAACCGTCGAAGAAAAATCATCTGGTTTGTTTGTTGAGAAAACTCTCACGTTTCAGATATCTGGACCTTTTTTGATTTGTTTAGTCATGTTCGCTGCGAATGAAGGGGCGTTAGAGTGCGGCGCTAATTCGTTTTTTCCTATACTTTTTCTTTCGGCAGGCCATATGATTATACCATATCGTTCGCAAAAGTCGTTTCCCACTAGTTGTTGATAGTTACCCTAGTCAGAAACTTGTGGAGAACCGGTTGGCGGCGCGCCAAGCGCTGCCGCTCTGACAAGCCCCATCATCCGCAGCAAACAAGACTATGCTTTCTACAGTGCGAACCTGGGGAGTTCACTTCCTCCATGCTTATCCACTCTTTTTTACGAGGCTAAAAACAGAAACAAGTATGCTTCTATTAACTAGACAAAGGCATGCAATTAACCCCTACAGATTTCTTTTTATTCAGTTCTGCTCTCCTACTAATTCACGCTTTCGATAGGTGTGGCTGCCCTTAGTTACAATTAGGTTTTTCACGATTCGGAAAGAATTTATCTCATAGACCGCGCAAGCTAGTCTAGTCAAGGATTGACAGTAGAGCGCTGGGGTCTAAGCATAGACATCGCCTAGGGTGTCTCATAAACGCCTAGTTAAATTTCAGTGGATTCCCGCGTCTCACATGTCTTTTATCTGCCGCATTTTCTAGCA